AGATGCCTCCATGTGCATCATGATTCACCAGCCACACGCATCTTCAAGTTTCCAACCCATCACTGCTGATCTGCCTTCATCAGAACTGTCCTGGCCCCGGCGTCGGGCTGAGCGGCGAAGCCGGGGACTCCCACACTCACAGCTCACATCAGGATGCCTGGGCACCACACCCTGGTTCATGATCGCAGCTTTCTGCCACTGCATACCCAGGGAGGCAGTGGGTGAAGGTACATGGGTCCCAGCCACTCACATGGGATTCCCTTATCCTTCTTCCCAGCCTGGGGCCACTGTAGGCTGCCAGAAAGTGAACTAGCAGATAGCAACACTCACTCACCCTCTTGGTCTCTCATCCATAAAAGAGAAAATTGTACAGAAGTCCCTCCTTTGCACAGTAGCAGAGTGTCCCATCTCCCCACTCCCAACCTCGCGGGACTAGCAGCACCCCATTCCTCCCCTCCAGCACATGGGGTTTCTTTACTCATTTCCACGCTCCCATAGTCACAGCTTTGCACCCTGGGGAACTTGCTATGACCTGAAGAAGATTCAGTGGAGAGTTGCCATGCACCAAGCGGAAGTTGACAAATGCCGGCCCTCCCCTCCCCCTCAGCAGAACCAGCACACCTTCCAGCATCACACGTGGCCGTTGTGTAGACACGCTCTTTCTTCACAACAGGGCAAGAAGACACCTTCCATGGGTTAGGGTGAAAAGCCCAGGCTGGACCGGCAAAACCTCTGCTCTCTTATCATACAGCAAGCACATTCATAAACATTCACCCTCATCCTGCACGGAGCTGGCCGGGGTGGGTGGGTCGGTTCCCAGCTCAAGCCTGCCCTGCTGGGGGCTCCCTCGGACTCTGAACCAGGGTGGAATCATCACTTCCACCCCCCCAGGGACTGATCAACTCTCTTCCTGTGTGTAAACAGACTGCCAGCCCACTTGCCCACTGAAAATCTGAAACTCCCCCGCTGCACTTCAAGGCACTAAGAACTTGCCCCCTGATTACTGTACCAGGGCCAGGCCCACGGGGCTGCCTCCCAGACTGGGTGGGGTCTTCCTCACAATGCTAATGCGCTGGGGCCCTTTACCTCCACTGCCAGCTTGAAGATTAATTTGAAAGGCAGTTATAGGGACAGGTCTTCTATCTGCTGGTTCACAATAGCCCATTGTGGCTGGGCCTGGGCTGGGTTTCTTCTAGGTTGCCCACACGGGTGCAGGGGCCCAAGCATTTGGGTCATCCTTTACTGCTTTTCCAAGCCATTAGCAGGGAGCTGGGTCAGGTGTGGAGTAGCCAGGGCTTGAATAGGCACTGATACGAGATTCTGGCACCACAGATGATCGCTTCACCAACTACGCCACAGCACTGGCCACCCTTACTCCTGTCTTACTGATGAGGAGACCAAGGCTTAGTAGAGTTAAGAATTTGCTCCGGAGGCAGGAAGCAGATAGGAGCCCCTGGAATTCCAATCCTGTGACTCTCCCATCCCTCCCTTCCTGGTTCTGGGGGCAGGAGGATGCCACAGGGGGTCTGGCCTGAGCACTGCCAGCCTCAAGAGCCTCAATGGTACTGCAGTCTCCTTGAGTTGAGGACCAGGTGGGCATCCTTCAGTCCCATGCCCGAGGGCGTACTGGGCATTAGAGCTATGGCTGCCTGGCAGAAACACACAACCTCCAATGCCACAGGAACTGGCAGCTAACGAGGGGGTCCAGACATACCCTGGAAAGGCCAGGGTTACAGGGACACTCAGTGAAGGAGCTGGGACGCCCTGGATGGGGAGACGTCAGCACTGTGAGGTGACAGCTCAGGGCTGCCTGGTGGCCAAGGACCAGCCAGGCACAACATGTACCTGTGACACACACTCCCACATAGCATCTCAAGATCCCATTCCCATACAGGAGTTACTGCAACCGTGAGAGTGGCCCAAGGTTGGGCAGTTAGGCAGCCATTCAGGACTCAGGACTTGGGTTTGAATCCAGCACCGCCTCTTCTCGGCTGTCTGAATGTGAGGCAGTAATGGACCTCACTGGTAAAATGGACGCAATACAGATCAGTGCTCTGGTGCTGTGGGTTAACACTGGCATTCCAGATAGGAACACCTTTCAAGTTCCAGAATCTCTGCTTCCTATCCAGCTCCCTGCTACGGTACATGGGAAGGTGGCAGATGGTTCAAATGTTTGCGCTCCTGCTATTCAGATGGGAGAACCAGATGGAGTTCCTGAAGCCTTCAGCTTCAGCCTTGCCCACCCCTGGCTACAGTAGCCCTTTGGGGAATGAACCTCACTTTGCTTCTCAAAAAATCAAATCTTTTAGAGATGACCATAATAAGGTCTGACATGGTGGCACAGTGAGTTAGGCTGACACATGAAATGCCAGCATCGCAAATGAATGCTGGTTCAAGTCCTAGTTGTTCCACTTCTGACCCAGCTCCCTGCTACTGTGATGGGAAAGGAACAGAAGATGGTCCAAGTGCTTGGGTCCCTGTATCTACGTAGGAGACCCCCAGAAAAAGCTCCTGGCTCCTGGAGCATTTGTGGGAGTGAATCAGCAGATGGAAGATGTTTCTACAACTCTACTTTCAAACGACTCAATCAATTTTTTTTTTTAAAAATGTGAATAAACGAAGACTGCTAAACCAGAGCCAAGTGGAGTTTTGAAAAGAAGCCTCGGTCAAACAGTCCTTTTGGCCCAGGGCTTTGGGACCCTGCACCTGCATGGGAGACCTGGAAGAGGCTCCTGGCTTCGGATTGGCTCAGCTCCAGCCTTTGTGGCCACTTGGGGAGTGAACCATCGGATGGAGGACCTTCCTCTCTGTATGTCTGCCTTTCCAATAAAAATAAATAAGTCTTTAAAACAAACAAACAAAAACAGTCCTCTGAGTGGGAGCAGGGGGCTCCAAGTCCTCTATAAAATGATCCTGGAGGGACCAGTGCTGTGGCAGAGTGGGCTCAGCTGTTGCCCACAGGGCTGGTCTCCTGGACAGGCACTGCTTTGAGTCTCAACTGCTCCACTTCCAGTCTAGCTCCCTGCTAATGCGCCGGGAAAGACATCCCAAGTCCCTGAGTTCCTGCCACCCCTGGGACACCTAGACGGGAGTTTCAGGTCCCTGGCCTCAGCCAGGCCCAGCACTGGCTGCTGTGGCCACTTGGGAAGTGAACCAGCAGACGGATGACCTCTCTGTAACTCTGCCTTTCAAGTAAAACAAACCTTTTCTTTTTTAGAAATTATCCTGGAGTCACAGCTGGTGAAAGGCAATGTCAGCTTGAGCTCAGTCGCTAACTGTTGAGCACTTGTTGTGTGCCACTACAATCGATCAGTCAGCACCCAGACCACGGCCTTTTACCTTCCCAAATGGGTCACATTCTCACAGCTGAGTGTGAGCGGGGATAAAGAGGGTGAGGAAGGTGGAGGTAGAGCCAGTGTTCCTAGTGGCTCACGTGCCAGCACACATGGGGGTCTCCATTAAGAATGGGGGCAGCCAAGATCACGCCATCAGAGAGGCCAGCAGTGCCCAAGAGGCCTGGCCCCACTAGGTGTGTGACCTACACTCTCTTGGCCCGCCGGCCACCATCTCGGAAAAGGAAGGCTCTGGGATTCCATCTTGAAGCAGAGAGGTGAAGTCGCCTGTCAGAATTCACACAGCTTGCCAGTAGCCTGACTGGAACTTAACTCTAAACCCGTGAGACAGAAGGGACTGGGGAGAGTCATGCAACCCATGGAGAGGCCCAGGCTGCTGTACATGGGCCTGTAGGAGCCTGTGACCTCTTGCAGCGCTCGTCCGGCTGGCTGTTTAGGAAGTCCAGCAGCCCTAGGGAGCCCATCACACTAGAGGAGGGGTCCTGAACCCTGCACCCAGAAGATGAAGATATCACAGTCCAGATCCCAGTGGAGCCCCCCACACCCCTTCTGTGCACATCCCTCCTCCAGGCTTTGTGGGGGCAGCAGCAGGATAGAAAGGATCCAGAAAAAAAAAAAAAGATCCAGAACTTCTGTCCTCCAGAAGTTGGGGGGGGGAGGGAGGGGGACTGTAAAAGCTGCCCCGCAGAAGTTAACAAGCCCAGTGGTCTGGGCAGCCCTCCTTGCCAAAGAACTCTCCCAGAAAAAGTTGGTGAGGGTGAGAGCACAGGTCAGCCTGTGGCTTAGAGGGCTCAGAGCCCACACATCCCAGCTCTAGTCCCTGCCTTCCTTAGCAGCTTGCCATGGGCTGACCTCTGCCAGCTCCACCCCCTCCAATGCCAGCCTCTCTCACACACCAAAGAAGCCTCCTGGGGAAGCTGGAGCTGTGGCCGCACCCTTCCGCACCCTTCCGCACCCTTCCGTCTATGGATTCCCGTGTGGCAGCCGGTGCTCCAGCCTTCCAGCCTCGGCAGGGATTCTGGCCCCTTTCCCAGTGCACCCACCGCTGCTCCCTGCTTCTCTCCTATTGATAACCCGTCTCCCCTGCTTGGCCATCAGATTGTAAGGTGCCCAGGTACCAGAAGCCCAGGCGCCAGCGGACATTTCCTGGAAGCCACATGTACACACACTAGGATCTGCCCCTCCTGTCTCCTCCGGGGAGCACACAGAAGCCGCGGTGCTCCTACTGGATCTGCCGCACCCATTCCTGGCACAGCCCGGGGCTCTCCGAGGACCTGCTGTCACCGCCCCTGGATGTGGGTTTCCAATAGGGCGTCTGGTCACCTCCGCAGAGGGCCCCGCAAGTCATAGGGTTCCCAGAACGCTTGGCCTCGACGCCCCAGAAACTTCTCCCTCCGCAAAAACGAGGCACAGCTCGCTTGGAGAGCAGAAATAAGACCGGGCCGCGACCAAGGGATTCCCTTCTTGGGGAATCAACCGCCCGCCCCGATTGGCAGGCAGGGGCTCCTAGCTCCTTCCCCTGGGCTGGGAGGAGAAGCTCTAGGAAACCCGGGAATTAGTCGGTGCCCGCACCCGCCTTGGAGCTCGAACCCCAGGCGCCCCAATCCCCAGGGCATCGCGGCCGGCGTTCGCAAGTAGCGGCGGTACCTGCCAGCAGTTCCAGCCGGTGTCCCAGCACCTTCATCGCGGCGCGGCCCCGCTCGGGCTGTGGCGTCGGGTGCGCGGGAGGCGAGCGCCGAGCCGGAGTAGCAGAAGCGAGTTCGCCGCACCCAGCCCCCTCTCCAAATCGGTGCGAAAAAATCCACCAATTGCACGGCCGCACACCCCCCAAAAGGCGCCCGCCACCACCTGGTCGGGGTGAACTCCGGGAGGCGGGGAGAACGCACGGGGCGGGGGCCGGCGACACCGCGGGAGGGGCCCTGCGCCCGCTGCGCCAACAAAGAGGCCCCGCCGCCCCCGGGGCGTCGCGAGGCGTGGGCGCCGGCGGCGGCCTCGTGGGGCAGGCGGGGAGCGAGCGCCTGGGCTGGGTGGCGAGGGGGCAGACCAGGTGCGGGGGTCGCGCGCGGAGGCTGGGGGAGGGGGTGGTGGCAGGGCGCGCCGCAGCCGGGATGGGGGCTGCCGCAGACTTACCGAGGTGATGCGGGGCGAGGCAGCCGCGCAGGCGAGAAGCCGGGCCGCGGCGCCGCAGCCAACGTCCGGGAGCCCCTCCGCCGCGCCCGGGGGCGGAGGCCGGGGCGGGGGGCGGCGCGCCGCGGGGGCGTACCCACGTGGGTGCGGGGGGCGTGGGCGCTCGGCCTGGGCGCCGGGCCGGGCCTGGCGGCTGCACCCAACATCCCACCGGCCGCCAACTCCGCTCCTGCCTGCCCGCGGAGGGCGCTCCCAGTGGGTGGGCTGGAGCTGAGCGGGATGTCGCGACCCCGCAGTCCCGGGGAAGACCCTGCCGGCCCCGGTTGATCCGCGCCCCGCTCCTGCGTCTCACCTCCTCGCAGTCACCGGGATCTCCGACTCTGCGGAGAGCAGCGCGCTGTCCTTCGTTGCCCTCCCGACCCTCTCCGGCCGCGCGACGTCGGGTTCCTGGGAGCTGGTGGGGATGTCGGAAGGGGAAGGGCAGCTCCGGCCTTGGGTTCGATTCACACTCCTGAGGGAACCCTCAGCCCGTGAATACCCACACCCCGCCTCCGGAGGGGGGGGGGGACACACTGGAGACAGTCCCTGGGGAACTTGGCAGAACCAGGTGTTCTGGGGCCTTTCCGGCGTCGTCCGGTTTGCAGAGCGCGAGGGTTTACCTCGGTAGAACTCGTGCGGGAATGGCTGGCTCCTGGTGGAGGTGTGTTTGGCCTTGCGGGTAGCGCCCCCAGCTCACCCCGAGTTATTTGGAGGGAGGGGGCTGGCGAGGGGGAGGGTCCCAGAGGCCAGGACCTTGATTAGATGCACCTGCCCAGCGCCTACTCCCAGCTACTGCCCCTCCCCACCCCCTAAAAGGGAGGCCTTGGACAGAGGCCCACGCTCCAGGAAGCAGGCAAATCTATTGACCAGTAAAAACGTGTTTTGGCAAAACAGCTGTTCAGGCCCTGCCTCACCCTGGATTGCCAGGTTGTCCTGGGGAATGCGGGGGTGAGGGTGTCGGGTCAGGACCAGAGAGGTGGGCTCATGGTGAGGACCTGGCTTTGCCTCAGCTCCAGGTGGCAGGGAATTAAACCCCCGCACCGGCTGAGGCGAGAGAGTTTAGTGGGCCCAGATGGAGCGCACGTGCCTGCTCCGGGTGCAGCCTATCAATCACGGAGGCAGAGCCGGCTGGGTTTCCTCACTGTGGGGAAATCTCGGCTACTCAGCTCCCTCCCTTTTTGCGGGGGATGGAAGGGTGTCTTTGGGAGACAGATTGGGTCTATGTGTGTGATTCCTTATCCTTAAAGGCATGGGGTAGGGTCGTAATTTCCTGGCTGTGGGATGTGTGGAGCCTCACTCACTCCCTGAGTGTCCAGGATGGAACTCTGGAGTGATGCTGACCTCAGACGGTTCCTGCGAGAGTTCAATGATGCAAAGGAACTGCCTTGTGGCTGAGTATTCAATAAGCAATCGCTGCTACCATCAGTAATGAGCTGGCCTTCACTGCATGAGGGAGTCTGCACTTTGCTGAGCTCTGCTCTCCCCCCCACCCCCCATGGTTTCAAACATAGCCACTGGGCACAGTGAGTTGTCCATGGTCTAATAAGGATTCCTGGGAGGAACAAGACCCAGTACTCACCAACAGCTTTGACGCTGTAACTTGCACTTGAGACTAGCACTTGCAGTGGGCTTGAATTAGCACTATGCTTGACTCACGTCATTCAGGGATCCTGGGTGTGGGCTCAGGTGGGGCAAGCTGCATATTAGCGCCCCTGAAAATGGAGACATCATCATGAAGCCATGCAATTAGAAGAACCCCTCTGGGGTTTGAGGGCAAGGTGGGGATAGGAGGAAGGGGCCTGGCTCCTGGAGGACTTGCTTATGCCAGCCAGGCATCCAGCTCTTAGGGCCCTGGGCCCCTGTGCTTGTGTGCCCTTGCCATCATTTTCTTAAAAGACTTATTTATTTTTATTGGAAAGGAAGACCTACAGAGAGAAGGAGAGACAAAAATCTCCCACCCATTGGTTCTTCTTAAGTGGCTGCAACAGCCGAGGCTGACCATATCCAAAGCTAGAAGCCAGGGGCTTCCTCCGGGTTTTCCCACACAGATGCGGGGTCACAAGGCTTTGGGCCATCTGCTGCAGCTTTTCCAGACCACAAGCAGGGAGCTGGATGGGAAGTGGGGCAGCCAGGACACAGACTGGCACCCATATGAGATCCTGGCACTTGCACGGGGAGGATTAGCCAAACAGGAAGAGTTTGAGATCTGCCATCTGCTGGTTCACTCCACACGTGACTTAAAACAGCTGGACCTGGGTTAGGCCGAAGCGAGGAGGCTGGAATACCCAGGTCTCCCATGTGAGTGACAGAGACTCAAGGCCTTGGGCTATCTGCCACATCCCTCCTTCCCCCCAGGTGCATCAACAGGGAGCTGAACTGGAAGTAGAATGAGTGGGACTTGAATAAGTGCTGGTTTGGGATGCTGGCACCATAGGCAGGAGCTTAAAGTGCTGTCCCACAAGGCCAGCCCCACTCTTTATCTTCAACACACAGTGGGTAGAGCACAATGGCTAGGACATACTGGGCACAGGGCTTTTAACAGAGAGGTAGGACCCAGCTGTCACAGCCTCTGAGAAATGCCTTCCCTACTCCAGCTCCCAGCTCCTTACTAGGTGCCTTGAAAACTACCACCCGGTAAACTGGGCAGGAGAGGGTATGCCAGTCTGCACTGGGGCCAAGGAGCAGACACAGACTTTCTGAAGATCCCTCTGAGCCCTCCCTCCCGTCCTTAGCATAGACCAGGGCTGCTTTCTCAGGCTGCCTCGCTGCAGGACACAGGGACCACCAGAAAGGGCCTTTTTACAGGAAGGTGGGCAGCTCTCAGGAGACAGCTCTGATGCTGCAGCTTTGTTCTCGTGAGACCTGTCACTGCAGGGTGAGCTGGCATCATCCTTGGTTGCTGGACGCTGCCATCTGGACCATGGCTGCCTCTGAAGGCAGGGGGTGATACTGGCCTGGCTGTCACTGCTGCCCCCAAGCTTGCCAGGAGCACACATTCTGCACAGCCCGTTTCTAATGTGCAGTTGACTACCAAGTATCTGCTGTTCCTGAACAAAGCTGCAAGGGAGGCTGGGAACAGGTGTTTTCCATTTTAGTGGGAGGTGGGCTTTGCCTTGCAGAAAGGGCATGTCAGATGCTGGTGGCCAGAACCATGGCCAGCTCCTGCGTCTACACAGAGAGGAGTGGTGAAGCCCTTGGAGAAGATGCCTGTGGCCACAGCTCGGCACCCAGAGTGTGAGATCCACCTGAGCCCTGTAAGCTCACGCTGCCAGCAAGGGAGCTCTTCTGTCTTCTCTTGGATGTGCCAGCAGGTGAGAGACAAAAGGACAATGAGGATAGTGTGGCTTGCTGCCCTTCCAGCTGCAGAGCGGCTTTGGTCCTGCTGCCAGGAGGCCAGGTGACCGGATTTTTCCATTGTGGTGAAGAATTGGGCTGAGTCACCATCCCTCTCCTGTGCCCTCGTGACCATGACTGGAACAAGGAGAAAAGATTAACTGATGGGGTCAGGGGCGCTGATGAGCTCGGGGCCATGGACTCTTCATCTCTAAGAAGGGGAGAGGGATGCAGGAAGGAGCTCCCCCTCCTTGCCTATTCAGGAGCCCAGTGGCCTTGGTGGAAGTGAGCATGCACCCCTGTATTTACTGCATCCGTTTTGGTGTCCGTTTGGTGCTGAGCCCTGTGCTGCGGGAGCTCCTGGGAAAGCAAAGCTGACCGGGACAGTGACCTTGCCTTTAAGGTCCACACCCTGTGAAAACAGAGCCCCATAGTGTGGGTACAGGGCAGATGGCTACGAATAACTTGTTACCTTGGAGTGCAAGGGATGTGGCAGGCTCAGCCAGGGCTTCCTGCTGGGAGAATCAGGTGAGCCTGCCCAGAGGTAGAAGCTCAGCAGATGGAGATGAGGTGATGGGAGCTCTATTCATCTGTCCACCCATCGGGTCAGTCAGGCTCTGTGCTAAGCTTGGGGAGTGAACCAACAGGTGAAAGATTTCTCTCTTGCTCTCTGACTTTCCAATAAACAAACAAAAATCTATCTGTGAGAGAAGACTTGGGGTGTGGGGAGGAAGGGGACTTACCAACATAGTGGCTCAATAGGCTAATGCTCTGCCTGCAAGCACCCATCCCATATAGGCACTGGTTTATGTCCTGGCTGCTTCGTGTCTGATCCAGCTCCTTGCTTGTGGCCTGGAAAAGCAGCAGAGGATGACTCAGAGCACTGGGACTGTACAGTACGTGGAAGATCCGGAAGAGGCTCCTGGCTTTGGATCAGATCAGCTCAACTCTTGCCCTTATGGCCATCTGGGAAGTGGACCGGTGGGTGAAAGACCTTCTCTCTCCTTCTCTCTGTAAATCTCCCTTTCCAATAAAAGATCTTTTAAAAAATACTTGAGAAAAATGCATTTGTACCAAACATGTACATACTTTCTTGATTCTCAGTATTTCCCATACCCTGCAGCGTTATGAGTCTTAAAGTAGCAGTTGTTTTGTGCTGGGTTGGATAAGCAATCCAGAGATGAGC